ATACACGTCCCTGCTGTCACATGCACATCGAACAAACTCAGGAAATACGGCACTTATTAAAACTCTGTCATTCTCCAGGCAATAATAAAATGTTGTATTGTACCATTTATTAGCAGGGTGTCGTGATACCTTTCGGATTTCAGCTTCCTGCTGATGATCCCTGTGTGGATAGTATCTGTACCTGAGGCACTCGGCGGGTCGAACTCTTTCCTCCGGGGCGTGTGGACCGTGCTCCTTCCCTCTGACGCTGTGTCTCTGTCAGACTTCATCAGAAGAGGTTGGACGATCTGTGGTTGATGTCACAAACCTGCTGGAATGGCTCAGCCTTCCGCAGATCTTGGGTAATCTCGCAGTTGATCTCGCGGTGAATGTCTTATTCCACACCCACGCCATCCTGCTTCCACCCTAGTCCAGCTTGTACGTCTTCCTGGATCATAGCACACCTCTCCGTCCCTTGGGGTATTTTGAGCTCTCTGAATATTTCCTCTTCCATTTCCTCTTTGTCCTGACTATGAGAACGTGAAGGTTTTCAGTGGCTTTAATGAGGATTAACGGTGGGTTTGATTTTTGCTGATGCAGCAGATCCAATATCTATAAATCCAGAAACCATCAGGGGATTTGTTTCCTCTACACAAACACCAGGACTTAAATTGGCTACATTCAATAAAACAGCATGTTTTTACTCCCTGATATCACCACCTTCGCCTGCAGCATCTTCGCTTCATTATAACAGGAAGCAGTCGTCAAAGTCTCATAAAAAAAACCTTGGTTCTAATTGTCGTCGTGCTGCATTGTTTTGAACACTGGAGCTATAAGTGTGTTTAATGTGAAGCATTAAAATTTAACGCAGATTGCTGGAATATGAGCTATCGCAGGGGGGGGGGGCAGGAATTGAACACACTCACATCTCCAGGGGCCACGGCGTAGAGTTGATTACCAAAACAGGAACATTTCACACACACACACACACAGCCTGAAAGTAAAATTAGAGCGTGATTTGAAAGAAGCAGGGTTTCAGGGGACAGCGGATAAGTGCTTTGTTTATTTCAGATGATGGTGATGGTGTCGCTTTAAGGAAACACAGGTTCTTATTTTGTACAGTGCAATTACTGCAGCCGGCTTCAGGGACGAGTAAATTACAATGTAATTGGACAGATGACACAGCGTCGCTCTTGGCTTCATATCCATGTCACAGGTGGTTGATAAATAACCTGCACAGCTGAAGTCGATACGTGTGTGTGTCTGTGTGTGTGTGTGTGTGTGAAATAATATCTGACAAATGATTGAAAAGATGTTGCTGGATGAGGGGAGATGACGAGTTATTTTAATGTGGCTGTTTCATCATGTGTCATTTAGTGAGTGTGTGTGTTGTGCTTCTTGTTACATGTGTAAGTGTGTGTGTGTGTGTGTGTGTGTGTGTGTGTGTGTGTGTGTTCGTGTGTGTGTGTTCCCGCAGTTTGACCTAAGCTATGAATTTTATCCAACTGAGTTACAAAGTATTGGCCCAGTCATCCATCTGCTCTGCAGCCCCTATGCAATTGTAATTGCATTAGTGCGGTGTTGATTTATTATTAGACACCTTTTCCCAAAGTCCCCAGGCTCATTTTCCTTTATTAGAGCGAGTCTGAAAAGACAATACGCAGCCTCACGCCGCAGAGCCCCCTCCAGGCCAAACTTCATTCCAAAGTGAGCGGGGGATAAGTGGGTAGAAGTGAGACCATTGGGGAGTGTGTGTGGGGGGGTGGGGGGTCTGCCTCCGTCCTGTTCACACAAGTTTTTCTGAATCGTGTTGTTCATCCTGATGTTGAGGGTTTCTGCTCACTCGCCCCATCACTGCTCCTGCAGTACTATACACGAGTCTCCCCAAGTTTGAATCGTCCAGAGGATCCAGTGTCCAGAGGATCCAGTGTCCAGAGGATCCAGCGTCCAGAGGATCCAGTGTCCAGAGGAT